AAAATATTATAATCTGCTTGCAACTACTTACATTTCTAATAAGTAGCATGCTGGCAATGTGGATAAACATAATGCAAAACTTCTACTGTCTAAGCAGGACTACAGATTTAGTTAGCATATTAAGAAACCTTCAGAGCATGAATTGAAATTTAAAAATTAAGCGCCTTGAATTTATCAACCGGTAGCAAATCTCTCTGCATTTATCACTCCAATTTCAAAATAAAAATACAGATTAAACACTTTAGTCGACTTACTGAGCAACGACATCTGTCACCTTCGACAATTCCTCTCTTCCATTTTTTAAAGCAGATTTCCTGATTGGTGCATTATAAAATAAATTCTCTGCGACAATAGTAGTTCCCGGATTACCAGCACAAGGTACAGGTTTCGATTCAGCGACTCCAGCACGATATTTAACTTTGAAAGCACAGTTTTGATTTGCTGTGCGTGTTGTCACAGTAACTAAGGCAACATGGCTGAGACTAGATAGTGCTTCACCACGAAAACCAAATGTAGAAATTTTACTTAAATCTGAAAATTCCTAATACGAAAGTAATAAGAAACTTTAAGAATTCCAATGAAAAATTGAAGTAAAAAAAAACTTTATACTAAAATTTAGAATTTCGATAATGAAAGGCCATCTGTCAAAGTGGAATTTTCCCAAATCTCTAGCTTCAAAAGTATTCCCTGCTTAAAAAAAACTAACCGCTAAGACAGTATTTCTTGAACAAGATTTGATTTTTTTTATCAATGAAGATTATGGTTCGTTTAAACATGCTAAAGTATAACATCTACACGTTTATAGGAATTAATAATTAATACAATTACAACTGTTTTCGTTAGATAATATAAATATCACTCCACTGAAAATAAAGTCTGTATTATCCCTAGTCCCTCAAAAACTTAGCAATAATACAGAACAGACAAATCATTTTCATTCATTAGAGTAGCAATTATTTCATTTTCAACTCTTATTACGAACTATATTGTAAGCCTAAATAAAATTGTTATAATAACAGGAATATACATGAGAATGATGAAAAAAAATAAGAAATAAATTGAGGTAAGATAGAACCGTGTACCGAATTGTGAATTGACTGGTTTTATTACACTTATTTTTACTATTTATATTAGTGAAAAGACCACTTTGGCATAGAATAAGGAAGGTATCAATCAAGTACCAATAATATTAATAATGATAATCATAACGATAAAAATAAAAATATTGATGGATATACTGTAAATGAAGCACAATTAAGGAAGATTTCATTGTTTACAAATGTTTATTTTATTGTCTAAAGCAAAAAAGAGAGAAGAAAACTATACTACGATTAACATTAAGTTCTGTTATGAACTATTGGTTTAATGTTTGATACAAACTATAAAATTTCAAAATCTCTACAAATTCCCTTTGTAACTAATTGTTTAATTATTTATTTACACGTAATCATTTTTTTAGTAAAAATACAAGTATATAGAAATGAGATAATTGAAGGAGAATATAATTAAGAAAATACAAGAAATATAATGATCACTAACTTTTAATTTGCTTGTAGTAAAACGTTCGCATAGAATTGGCAAATCTGACTGATGTATACCACAGCCATTATCTTGAACTTGGATAAGTTTTAAACCTCCATCTTTAACAGTAATCTATTTTAAAAAAGAAAAAAATGTTAGTATGCAGAAAAAAGATATTTTAAATGATAATACAGATTAGTTAAATGATTAACTTAACTCAAACACCAGGTACCAGGGTATGAGCATGAACAAGAGGACTAATCATAATACCCGACTGCTCAAATCAAAGTAGAGTAGGATCTAAAACTAAGACTTAAAATCGGAAATATGCAAGTTTATTATCTAATTTTATTAGTGTATCTCATCATTTCATAAATACTGAGCATTATAAAAGGGAATATGAATATCAAAGGAGGATAACATTGAATATTAGTTTTATTCTACATTATAAGTCCGAGATATATAAAAAAGTATGCGAGATTAAAATCACGAGTGAAAATTTCATTAAGCCTAGAAAAACAAGTGTGCCACTTCAATAAGAAAACAGATTACAAGAGGTGAATGAGCAATACACATAACTACTTGTTATATAAGTTATATCATAAATGTAACACCTAGTAATGATCAATTAATAAATGAACGAAAACATTGTGTCGAAAAAATAATAATATTAATGATAAAGGATTTGCCCTCGAATATGAAATACGATAATACACTGAACACTAAAGTAGATAATATTGCACGTAGATACACAATTCCGATCGACAACTGAGAGACAGATAACAGATCAGAATCATTGTTTATTGACACAGTATGAAATCAGAATAGAATTGAGTTATGATGCAATCAATCTGTTACATACAACAATAGCTTATATACTTAGTGATTTTCTGTCCTCCTTCCGTAGCCATTCTTATTTTACCTTCACTAGCCACATTATCAGAAAGATTCTGAATGCGGTAGCTAGCCACTCAACTATAAAGGTCTTTTATTATGACGGGAGGTGTGTAAAGAATTGCTCATCACGAACTAACGTCATATAAACAACCCCTGAAAACTAGGGAAAACTGAAAATTTGTATTATTCTAGTTTAGTCTCTGCGAAATTTGTACAACTTTCAAGAATAACTTACACAAGATGGATTGTTAGAGTTTCCAAGAATTTACATGACCCTTGACTCTTAAATAAAAAAACATCAATGTTTTCCATTCTTGTTTTTACACTAAGAGCTAAAATCTAGCGATTGACTTATTAGAAGAATTTAACTTAACCAAAATCTATTCACAATTAAGAAATATTAATTATCAACTCATTTGAACTGTTTAAAATACATCTTATTGTATTAACCAAATATATGTTAGTAATATAAACAGAAGTTAATATGTAGTTCGGAAGCTCTACAAAAGAATTGAAAATTTGTGAAAGGATTCACTTATTGAATAGATAAAGTACTTTCTGTAAATCCAGCTGGTAAACTGAGAATTCAATAGGCCAAGAGATGACTTTTTTATGAATAGGTATTGAATTTCTTTTAAAAAACTACCTGGGACGATAAAACAATGTTAATCATGCTTTACTGAGTAAAAGCCAAAAATGTGTTAATAAAATTGGTGATTAATCAGTTAAATTAATAGTCAGTAATTCAATGATATTTGAATAATTCCAGCTCAATGTACGAATTCCTGATGAGTTTCAAAACAGTGCAGAACATCTGTTTCAGTATTTCACGATTCTTAACAGTTTTCCATTCTTTTTATGAGGAATACTTAACAATTTCAAGAAGAAAAGTTTCATAAAGAAAAAGCATAACTATGAACTTCATCACATAATAAAAATAACTGATATGAGATAGTATTGATCAGTTAAATAAAAAGATTAAAGTGAAACAAACGAAGTATAATTACTTTTATCATTGTACTACCAGCATCTATACTATTCTCCAGGAGTTCTTTAATTGCATTTACAGGACGTTGTATTACTTCACCAGCTGCAATTCGATTGATTACCTCTTTCGGTAGACGTTTAATGATTTGTGGCACTGGCTTATCTGGACTTAGCAGTAGTAAATTAGCGGAGGATTTAGAACTATCATCTGAGCTTAGTTTATCCATTTGGCTGAAGGTTAGTGGTGAATTTCGTACATAACATTTAATATCCTATGAGGAATAATAAACACCTTCACTACAGTAGTAACTTTGAAAAGTACTGCAGACGTTCGTTCAGATCAGAATATTTTACTTGAAAATGAAAAAAAAACAATTGGTTAAAAAAACTGCATAATGCAAAGCATTAAAAGAAAGTATGACTACATAGAATGTCTAACAAAGATAAATTGATTTAACAGAAAATCACTATAAGATTAAGCACATCAAGTAATAAATAAATATTTAATAAAATGAGTTTCGAGAGATGAATTAGAAGTTAGTTTTCGTCAGAGACTGACAACAGCTGGAGAAGCATAGAAAGTCAAAGAACACTGAACATTTGCTTCGTTTTAGTTTGGAGACTTCAAAACATTGAGCACCTACGATCTAGCATCTAATCAAATGTAAAACCTTCAGGTCTTCAGGAGGTCGAAAAAGTCAAAACATAGTGATTAATGAAGTCGCCAAGTAATACGGTCACCAACAGTTAAAAAAGTGTAGGGACTGTGTAAGTTTGTTATGATACTTCAGAGATCATAAACAAAATATTTCACACGAGGACAAAATAATTGGTACTGAAAATAAACTAAGTCAGTGGTCAGATTCTAATAGGTTAAACCTTTTCAACAAGCTATATTCTCTCATAGTTGACCTTCTTAATTGGACAGTCACATTTATATCGTAATCACTATGACATTTTTCCTAGAAGCTAGACTTGATACTGTTGATGCTTTTAATTTATGCAAACTGGAACGCAGCTCAGTTGAAACGAACACGACCGAAATAATCAGGCCAAACTGACAGGCAAGAAAACTTGATAAATAATGACTGAATGAAATAATATTTTGGGATATCAAACAAATTTCTGCTCCAAGTTACGACTATGTTTTTAACCAATTTAAATAATTACATTTCCAATATTTATCTTGACGAACTATTTAGCTTATTCTCATAAGGAACAATTTAACTGGCTAAAAATACATATTTGAAGCAATTAATCCCTTTGACATATTTGGATAGTGTAATAAGTAGACGAAGATTATCAGAACTATTTGAAAAAATATATTTTGAAGTGATTCGTAAGTGGAATGAAAATCAAGACTTTTAATTGTTAACAAATATCAGCATAGAGTATATTCATCTTAGATTAGTCAATGCTAGGATCACAAGACTAATGAGTGATTTATTTGCATTATGACTAAATAATCTAGTCTGTTGGATGAGGACTATATAAAAAATTAGGTAAATAAAAAGTAAATAACAAATTCTTTTTATAGTCATTTTTAAGGAACACTACAAAAAGAAGTCATTCATGCATAATTTGTGATAAAGACGCATAAATTTGACTCAGAATACACCCAGATCTCATAGAGATAAAAAGTGCGACAGAGTTCCAACCTCTATATATTCGAGTGGCTTTACTCGATTTTCCTAAATACTTAACTATTTAGTTGGAATTTTCCACTATCTCTCCAGAATGTCAAACTTACGATAACACTCACACATAAAATCAACGACTGTGAACCAATTATTATTCAGCTGACCATCAATTTTCAGAACTGAAATACTGTCTAACAATACGATATTAACTCGTTTTGTATATATAAAGTTGGACCATTATTGTTATCATTAAATTCAACAGAAAAATGAAATATATTAAATGAAAACAAGTGATTTACAATAATTTTAATATAATATGAAACAAATGTTGTTTAAATACATAAACAACAATAAGAAATAAACTACTGGACAGATAAATTAACAGTAAAAACAAACAAAAGAAAAGAGACAAAATAAAGAAAGACAAAGAGGTAGTGATAATCATAATAATAAACATGGTTTTACAAAATAATATGGGGTGGAGGAGGAAAAAGTTATTTTGCTCAATGAAGTTTACAAAATAAATATCGACTAGTTGGACATAGCGGTCAAATAGCCATGTAATATATACGTTTTTTTTTCATTTCAGCTACTTCATACAATTTAAATATGGAGCTATACAATAAGCTGCATAACATCTTGATATAACAGGTAAATGATTTTCATATTTAGCAAGTGATAATTTTAAACGTTTAGGGCGTGACTGAGTTGATGTTCTATGCAAGTTATTTGATGATGTTGAAGATGGTGATCTTAACTGCCAACCTTCAGAAAAATGACATGGTCTAAATGGAGCTTGTAAGATATTTGGACGAATATAATTTCCGACAGAAAATTGTTCTAACAAGTTAGGAGAAATATTTTGATCATTATCAGTAGTAGTTATTTGTCCAACCATCACAGAATCCTCATGATCTACATTGATTAACGAAGTTAACAATGAACTCGGTGTATTCTCAATGACTTCATCAATCGTAATACCACCAATCACATACAATCTATCGTACAGTACAAATGAGAAAGCATTGTAACGTGGAAAATCTAGTACAGTGACCTGAGTCCAACAATTCTAAAACACAAAAAAAAATATTTCAGTTATTTAACAATTCGATGAAAACATAAGAAATAAAATAATACAGTTGACAATATCACAAAATATAAATAACCTGAATATTAGTACTTTTGGTTAATATAGATAAATTACAAACATGTAACCATTGCTTTATATCGAAAATTATTCAACTGCCGATAGTGAACTTGATGAAATGTAAATAGCTTATATAACTCAACAATGAATACAAACTGTTATTACTATAGTTAACAATTAAAAAGGACAGATACATGGAAAATTGAATAAATGAAAAACAAAACAATAAAAAAAATACAATGCTCACTGAGAAAACAATTTTTTTCCTAAATAAAATTCATCAAACAGTCATAAACAAGGTAGAGTCTGACACATATATGTATTGGGTCAATTGGCCATAACACATTACCACGATGAGATGAGTAGCAAAGAAATCGAAATGATGTAGTATCAATCGTAATTAGAAGAATCAAAGACCGATAATATGAACCAAAAAGACAAAGTGAAAAGGTAAGTAAGTAATGACAATACTTGTTTGGTCAAAAGCAACCAGGTTGTTTTTAGTGTTCCCCAAATGATATTTCAATGGTTGGACATGTAAGTAAAAATTGTGGAAAGAATAACTCAGACTCTTCTAAACAGATACAAAAGATCAGTAAATACAGTACATTTTCTTATTTTAGTTGTTATGAAAAACAAAATAAACTGTTGATTCACTTTTTAATTCTTCTTATCTTTGTATGGTAAAGAACTCTATTTTAACTGACCTACTATAAACTATCTCTAATTGTCTCCCGACCATATCTGAACTTGACTGATTTCACACTAATACCCTTACTCTTTTGACATTTAATCTACTGTGAAGTGTTATTTTTAGTGGATGACCGCCCATACAAAAAATTTTGCTCATCTATGTTCAGTAATTTTTGTATTTCAAAGATGAGAAACCACTTAAACTAAAATTTACTGACGAAGTTTTCAAAATGTCGTTTTAGGGGACATTAACAGCTACTAGTGATTAACTAAATGTTCTAGCTCAGAGAACGCAAAAACATTGTCTACAGCAGCTGACCTGTTTATTCTTCTAGACACCATAAACTATATACATGAAACATTTATCTGAAAGCTTTCAGTAAAGTTCCCCGTTTTATATTCCAATATAATAATATTTATTACAACGAGTGTCAAATTTTTATTCAGATACTGTTAAACTCAGAAATAAACTGGTTAACAGATTATACGAAATTCAAAAACTGAGCTAATAAAGAGAATTTAGTTGATGACTATGACACTATGATCTTAATCTGGTTCCCGTCTATAAGCTCAATCCACGAAATCATATCACATATTTACCTGATGAACGGTCGTTGCTGGGGAACGACAGCATAAAATGTATAGTATATTGCCCCCAAATGCCCTGGTACGGCTGAGAGTGGGGAGAGTCTGCTCTCCTTTGAATGCTCTCACATGACCACGCGTATAGAGCCACTGTCAGAGAATTCCTACTCACTGTCTTCTCGCGACGGGATGTTGTTTACGAAATCGAGAGAACGGAAAGCGAATGTCCGCCACTCTAACTGGGATAGTGGATACGGAGGATCCACCTAGGGGAGTTGAAAAACCCTGATTCCAAGCCAATGGTGCACATGAGTCCCAGGATCCTGAAGGAACAAATGGCGTGTGAACCAATTATTGGTCACCGGCTACCATGGGACTGCATCTCGTGACGTTGCTCCACTGCCTTGTGGATCAGACCTTTATGTCGAAGGCTCCGGATGTAGCCGCCTAAGAAAACCACCTGCTTCGGTCTGAGCACCCGGGAAGTATCACAGCCCACACACAAATCAAGTGGTTTATGTGGTGTATATGTATTCGGTGCCCCTTTGTACCAATATTTATGTGTTTTAAATAGACATAGTATACTATAATAGAGAAATAACCAAAATAGAATATTTTGTAACCATATTATCTACAGAAAATCGATAGACTCACTGTACTAAAATTAAAGCAGAATACTTTATTTGAAATATCATCAAGTTCCGAGCCGTAAACACTCATTCGACCGCCGCACAAAAATACTTGATTTTCTACAGTGTCACAAGCCAATGCCACACTTATCAGAGGCATTGGTAGTTTTGGTAGAAACTTGAAATTTTCTCCATCTTCCTCTGTGGGATCATATAGAAGGGCACAATCAGACGGACGCATTTCATCACCATATTCTTCAAGACCACCGGCAAACATAATAAGACCTTGTTTTGTCACCAATAAGATTAAATAAATAAGTGTAATGCGTAGTGAGAATCAAGTTTACCATTGTTAACAAGAACGGCTAATTAAAAATTGGTATTTTTGTAATGATTACTTATATATATATATATATATATATATATATATATATTATATATATATATATATATATATATATATATATATCCTGTGCAGATTGTCTCGATATCGCCGTTAAGTCACAAGCATTTTAAACAAATATGGAAGGTAAATAGCTATAGTTTTTATACACGCTACTGTCGTCCTCTATTTGAATAATTCTACACTAGTGTAACAAACATCAGACCTAATAACTCAATGGTAAGATAAAATGTTGTTTTCGGATTTAAAATGTGGTATTAGAACTTTTTCACAAGATATAATCAATGTAAACTGGTCCTCCTATCGAGGTACAAAACAACGATTCAATCGAGCAACATGTTAATGATTAAAGTGTATTCTGAAAAACCGAATATAAAATAAGTACGAATGAACATGACCAATTAAAACTAGTTCAATTCAATTGAGTACAAACTGTTGTGCTCAGTTTTCGAGACAACACCATTCGGTTCCCTAGGTCGCACCAAATAAGAGAGGGTTCAAACTGTACAACGAATTGATTAAGAATTGAGTATTTTAGTTATCTGATATAATAGAAACTAATTCTTAGTGTTTATAATGATGCGAAAAGTAACCCTCGTACAAGAGTTCGCTTAGAACAATCCACTTAGACAACAATAAAAGATTTCAAAGTTAAATCTTATAATTCGGTACAAAAGAATATTGTATAATGTCAGTAATCTCACTCCACAACTACGCTGTATAAAAAAGCACCTACATTCACAATTCCATTTTTGGTCGTAAAATTTCTAGTCCTTATCAACAGAGTTTGAATCGACTGTATACAGCACAGTAAACAATGGCAAAGTAGGCTGTTACTTTTATGCATACAAGTATAATCTTTTGTAGATTATTTCAGCAACGCTGTTGAGAAGTACGAAATTTTTTTAAAACTGCAACCACAATCACTCAACAAATGACTTTTCTAACCGTTATTTTGAAAATATCGAAGTGCCCGCATAAAGTTGAGTTCGATGCTCTGAAGAGCTCATCCTTAGTGGTTGATTCTCAATGATGCATCAAATGTTTCTATCAATATACCTGCATTTTGTACTGTATCATCGTTAACCAGTATTGTAATAGAATTCCTCAGTTTGCCTTGCGATGCCAGACGTGGGAGACTGGCTTAAAGTTATTGGGAAAATAGTGAACACTTCTGCTGTGTGCGTTTCGTGCTACTGAGTCCGGTTTCTGAATAATGTAGTTAGGTATTAATACCTTTGAAGTATAATTCAAAGCAACTTAATAACTAGGCAGTGAGTAATAATACTAACGAACACTTCATTTTTTAAAAGTAGAGTCGAATACTAGTAGAAAAAATTAGAAGATCCAGGCATATTTTATAAAATGATACTCATAATCCCCTATTCAGTTTTTTAATATATGTTTTGTAGGTAAGATGAAAAGTTATAGATTTAATGACTAAATAGATTGACACAAATATTTTGAATGAAAAATATATATACCTTTATGAGTCAATAGTAATGCACATGTATCTACCAAACCAAATGGTAATTTATGATTTGAATTATTCCATTTATTTGTACAGATATCATATGTTAAAATCGAATCGCTAGCTGGTGAATAATTTGTCGCCCAATTTAAGCAATAACCGCCAAATACATATAAATAATTTTCAATACAGATTAAAGTATGATGTGATCTAGGAGAGTCCAATTCACTCATTGTATGCCAAACAAGATCTGTTAAACTAAAACGTGAACAACTAAAATGTTTTATAAGAAAGAAAATAAAAAAGAGGATATATGATTAGTTAGTATCGTTATAAGTTATAAAAGATACTAAACAATTTAAATGCTCGTAGAAAACAGTAACCCATTCGGAATGACGTACACTTAATGTACGAGTTGTTGAAATCAAAGTATAAGAAGCAAAGTTTAAACCTGCTACTCAACAAATAGTAGGCGACGTGCAAACCACTGGGTTGAAGTTTAACAATTGAGTAAACGATTGTGAAATTACAAAAGCAGCAAAATAAACATTATTCAACCCATCAGTGGACACTGAGCACAGACATAGATAGATACTTTTGCTAAATTGTCAGATAGGTAGACTAGTGATTCCGAAAGGTGGGAGTTCAAATTCCGAAACAACCCAAGTTATATTTTACTTTTTACCATGATGTCTTTATTAAGATGTTCAATTTAAAATTTTAAAAATTACGAACCATTACGTACATAACGATTTGCAGCATATTTTTCGAATAACATTCAATAGGTAACTTGATTGTACTTGAATCGATGTTGTACTGTAAACATCGCCGTTGTACGACCGACCGTTGCTGGTCGGGCTTTCCTATAGTGATGAGCCAATCGAGCTACACTGCCTAGAACAATCGTTCCTCAAGGTCCTACCATGCCAAGCAGGTCGGTAAAAGTAAAATTAGCAGATCCAAGGCTCGAGAGCAAAGTCGTACTGCTGACTGTACAGAGGTGTGACTGTAGTAAGGTGTTTCCTTCAGACAACCGGCATAACAACTATGCTGCCTTCCCACAAGGAGGGTGGGGTTAGAAAAGGTCAACCCTGAAAATGCACACCGCGTCTTATCCCACGGTTTTTCGCCTCCGGTGGTAAGGTCTCAACAAGTAAGGAGCTAACACGAAAATTACTCACAAAAAGGTCGTGTGTGACTCGCCTCAAGCAGTTGTCCCTTGGACACTGCGGTCACGCTCTCTAGTCACTAAGACCAACTCGAGCCGAATTTCTTTTTCAGGTACTTCTAGAAGAACCCTTCCACGGTGTGAGAAACCGAGAAATGAGAACCATCCTAATGCCTCTAACAGCACTCAAGACCACTGTATTCATAATCAATTTCCCTCTTCCTATTTCCCCGTTGAACAAAACAAGTTTTAACATTTATGTGCGTGCATAAAATACCCTATATATTAAGGAACCACTAGAGTGATAATAACGGTGTTAGGCATACACTTGTGATAGGTAATTAAACACCCATAAATGAAGGAGTTACCGTCTGTGAATTAAAATATCTACAGTGTGGACTGGGTATGTCTCACCAGTTCTAACTAATGTAAAATAAAGTAGAACCATGTTCACAGTCGCGATTTACGTAGGAATGAGATAGAATGCTTTGTCTCCAAGTTTAATTGACCGAAACCTATCTAAAGTCTCTTGGAAATAAGAATTAGCGAAAGATTGGTAGCAAATGGTTAATCAGTGCAATGATAAATTTCAGTAACGTTATTTTAAAGATACATTTTACCTACTATCAGTAATTTAAGTAATAAATATATTGAAGCACAAACCTGCAGTCCGTAGTATCTTATTAAAATTTTTGACGGGAAAAAGTGGGCTATTTCAATTCGTGATATGTCAGAGTTTGGGCACATGAATGAAAAGTTTATTCCAAAGAATCCAGTAACACATATCTATCTAGCAATTTAATCGTAACCTAAATCACAAATTTTGTCTAGGTTACTTTATTATAATTACGTAATAGATATATATTGCCATTACACACTTTGAAGTTGTTTCCCGAATACCAAAAATGCCAAAGATTGAGAAGAACAATGAAAATGACCAATTCCGTCTATCCCTTAATTCTGCGGGAGAATAAAAGCAGGTGGTTGTATTCCCTCACTCTAGCTGAGTTTTTGTATAGGATTTAAAACATGTTGAGGAGTTCAATATTACTCTCCTGCAACAATGAACCTTGGGGCACATTTATATTCAATGAACTGAGGAAAGTTTTGATTTATATACGCTTGGGTCATTCTCCATAATGTTGATTAAAATTCATCCTAGCCAGTATGTAACAGATATTTGAGAGAAATTACAGGCGATAACCACCGATATTGGTCTGTCAGCACAAGAATAGTAAAACGTTCTTCTGATACTTTTGCCTTATTTAACCTACCTAATAATTGGAATTCTAGTGTTTGTTATTGAAATCAAAGCTAATAACTATGATTTAACTGAGGTATGTTGTCGTCCAAACTTTAATAAGTATGGCCAATTATTTGTGATAGGTAGATGAATACTGACAACCAATGGTATATAAGTTAAAGATAATGTTTTCACAATTTAATCTCAACAAAAAGATATAACCCCTTTAGATGAGTAGTATGTTATACGAATGGATTTACCATATGACACCTACAGATATTTAAAAAGCCCACCTGAATATCTAGTGTAATTCAATATGCTGATATAAAAACAAATTATCTACTTGACTTAATTTAGCTAACTAAACACCTAAATAAAATTTTGTTAAATGTTCAATATGGTTTCAACCTCTACTAATTTACATAACCAATTAACAACTACATATATTTAACAAAGCATTTATGTATGTAAAGTACGTATGTGGTGTGATTAACAAAATATTTTCAATTTCTTACTGGTTTAATAATTCACCCTCTTCAGATTCACCACCTACTACATATATCCAATTAAGAGAAGCAGCTACACCATGATGTACTCTTGAAGCAGCATACGGAGGTGTATATGTAGTAGCAACACTTAAATCTTCATTATAAACCATAAATTCATTCGATTGCAGTTCATAAGATGCTGAAGTGTTCTAAAATAAAACAAGAATATATACATGCATTTACATGGGGAAACCATAGGCCCACCAAACACCTATTAAATCTTGAACAGTAAATTGAGTTACATTGTAGCTCAGTATCTTAATGAATTAAACTCCAATAATTCAAATATCGCTTGTGAATGCAAATCTCTCAGAAATGTATATCAATTCCAATAAAAAAGACCTTAACAGTTGACTAATATGAAAGAGCTATCGTATGTAGCAATTCAATTTCTCTAGTTGTAGATAATTATCATTAATTCGATCTGGCACATGAAATGACCTTAATTACACCATTTGTTAATCAACAGGCTGTCCATTTACGAAAAAATTAAAAGTTCCCGGATGATGCATTGGATCGCTGTAATATATGTAATACCTAGACAATTACTGAACTAATATACTTAAAACGATCTTATATCACATGTTTGTTCTCTACATCTAATGTTACTATTTATATCAGATTGATCATGCCTGTAAACTGGAGTGAATTCTGTAATTATTATTTTCAGAATATATATATATCCCGTAATTCAAAACCTACGTTATTGAAATCACTTTCCCCTCCAAGTCCATAGACACGATATATGGTTCCAACCCTTGGTCTATATTGTTTAGGATCTATAAGTGAATTCGGTAGAAATTGATAACTCCAAATATCTGATATTGAAAATTTTTCTAATTCATTAAGAAACGATGGTTGATTTAAAGAATTATGTGCCAAAAATAAGAACTGTAAGGCATCATTAGCTGCAGAGTATTTTGGATTACTAATTATTTCCATCAATTCATTTCTCGTTATCTTTGGAGGGGAAAAAAATAAAACGAATTCATAGATACATATAAAATGAGATTTTGTACATTTATAACTACTTATTAGACAACTTATTAAAAACAACAAATTTTTACAAAAATTTATTTAGTTTGGGATAAATTCACACTTCGTGAGGTAACCGTACCCATGACAATCAAAACATTTATTCACGTGTTCAGTAGTGCATATATGTGCATTTGAACAGTTGATGATAATAGTATAAAGGAAACCTAAACGATTGATAAAATTGAACGAGATAGAAACTAGCACAGGTTTTCAATAGTTTCACACAACTACATGCTTCATGAATTTTTGAATAGTGAAAACCAAGGTGGTTTATATGCTAATCTAAACTAATCGTACCTATGGTGCTATCATGACGTTATTATAATAACTCAAGATTTGATGTTCATTGATTAAACAAAAACTATTATCGAACTTATATATCTAAACAGGGAATTAAATGGTCCCAAATCATTCAATGCCCATCTTGTTCATTTGATGAAGAGACAAATTATGTACAAAAATATACAGTTTGATGATATAAGTACAAGAAGTCGACTAATGCACAAAATGACTAATAGGTTTTACTCAATGGTATTAAATGGAAACGTTGAACTGGCTAGCACTCCGTACAGTTTTTTTGGGGGGGGATTTTATTTTTTTTTTTTTTTAAAACTTTTTTTATTCCTTTTTGTGTTTGCTACTGCCTTTTTGTTCGTTGTTCAGTAAGTAACTTGTTGAAATACCCTGTGCTGAGAATTCTATATTGTACCAAAAAGATAATATTGAATAAAGCCATTAATAATAATAATAATAATAATAATAATAATAATAATAATTTTAAGGAAAATAATGCTGTCCGAGGATTTGAACCGGTGTTAAATAACACCGTGATCAAAGACGTTATTATTACCCTCAAACTAAGCTTTGTTTCAATCGGAATTCATCAGTAAGGTATTTACATGACATTTAGTACAGGAAACTCACAATAATGAGCCACTATGTGTAGTAACCACGTTGAAAACTTGATGAGAAGACGTTTCGTAAATAACTTTATACAGTTCTTCCTTTTGACAAGTTTTAGTAGTATCAAAGACAATGATCGTAACAAAATAATATGAATGCATTTATTTCGCAAATTCACTTTAGCTGATTACGATCGAGAAACGACAATAATAACGATTGTTCTTTTAGATGTATAAATTTGACCTGAATCTTTTTGTTAAGGTAGCATCAACAAAGTTATTTAGTTACTGTTTATGTGTAAATGTTTTTAAACTCTAATACTGTATCGACCATGACAAAAGTCTTTTTATTCCCAGATACCTTTATGCACTTGGCAGTTTTCTATCCCACAACATTTACGTAACACAAATAATCAACTATATGAACGAGTCTTTTACTTCTCTCACAATCATTCGCTTTTTATTAACCTACATCTATGTCAATCTTAACTTTAATCAAACGTTTTTTTTTGTATAGTGTGTACACTTGTTCTGCTTTCTAATAATAATATTTATTATTATTATCGTTTCCCGGTCATAAGCAGTTAAGCTGAACCCACACAATAGATGCATCCACAATATCTTGCTACGACTGTTTTTACTGTTACGCTGACACTGATCAGCAAAATTTGAACAGTTCCATGAATTAAAAAAACAAAACATTAGCTACTGTTCAGTGAGCACTCAGTACAAACCGAAAATCCCAGTCAAAAAGAATGAACAACTCACCAAAGGTAATCTTACAAGATGAAGAAAGTTATTTTTGAAAAACTCCATTCGACGTTTAACATCATGACAAAGCCATACAAGTATTGCTTCCAAAACAACACGTTCCTGAGATATATTGATCTGATCACTTTGAAATATTTTTGTGATCTGTTTGGTAGTTAAATTCACAAAATCACTTGAGAAATAATCGATTAGTTGGAATTCGTGCCAGAGGAATAATATGGCTTTTTTAAATAACGCATCATCATCGAACCAATGTGCCAAATTCATAATCTCTAAAAATTAGCCAATAAAATAAAAGTATGGATACAATGGAAAAGCAATGCCTGCATACTTTATACAAGATTTCAGCGGTAATTCAGATTGGCTATTTAAAGCAGTTCACTAACCAGCAAGGTGAACAAGTATGACTCATCCTTCAAATATCTGAACAACCATCGTTTTGTGGTCCTTCAGGTGAAGGCATACTGCTGAGGTCCGAAACACAATGAATACCTCATATACAATATCAAAATTGAGAAAAATTCGAAATATCCATCCATCGATAGCATTAGTCAATGAAGAATTCAACTGCTGGGCTGAACCATGTAGATGGGTCCACGTAATTATCGAAACCAACGGTTACAGACTTTGTGTGATATGGCTGAAAATCGTTCGCAATCGCCAAGGTCCGTTCACTCTTTGACTTCCCTTAGATCCAGTCAGTCATAACATAGAACCTGGACGAATGTACATTGGTTCAAGCTGCCATACCACATTAGCACACCGCGACAAAGATGTCAGGCCAAATCCCATAATGGTAGAGGTAGTAACGGTAACAGTGGTAATAAAAAAGATTAAGCATCGAGGATACAACCCGAAAATGATATACAGATAAGAGACGTGAAAGCCGAAAAAGTTATGAGGGGTTTAGAATCTCAAAATTTGAGCGGAAGACAAATAATGGATGCACCTATATCATCGCAAACGACTTTGAACCATGTCATTCAAATTCTCTAACTAAGGGTCACGATCATCGCATGACCCCCAGCTAGGTAGTCTGTACCTATCAACATGGCTAAGTCAAATTGTTAGTGATTGCATGGACTGATACCATGTTTTGGTTTGGTCATCCGTAGCTTTTTTCTAGCCTTCTCCTACACCAGAAAACATCTCCCGTCAATGTGGGTGGTGGTTAAGCATGCGTAACACATGTCCCAACCACCTCAGTTAATGCATATTTACTACCTCTTCAATCTATTTCCCACCTTTAACTAGTAAAATATTAGCGGCCTATGCATCTTTTACTCCATGGTCCCAAAATACATCATCCTAGGTTCCTAAATTACCGTATACACTTTTTGATTCCATGAACTGATATTTTCTTTTTGAATTATATCTTCCTTTCCTAGTCATTTCTATTACCACTTATTCTGTTAACACGTCTATTCGGATCTGTTTCAACGATTTCTTCTCGATGTCCTAATGAGGTGTGACAACTTAAACTGGTGTACATATCTATCAGGTCCTAGGTTGCGCATGACTGACTGGTATCCATGCCATCTGTACCACAATACTAGGCTTTACGCACAACACTGTCTCCTGATGCTGAAATCAATAGAGTAAATGGTGATCATAGGATGAGCGAAAGTTTTGTCTGCCAGTGATTTTATGATTAACCTCAAATTCCATCGTGAAGTTTTAAAGATTATACTGCTCACTAACCAGGTGTATCGTTAGAACAGAAATAAAGTCAATAATGATCATGCTTTAGTTTATTTTGTCATTGATTTAAGCAGCAGTATACGCTGGGATATCAAAGCTTCTTTCAATACACCATCTGTGGTTGTTTTCCTTCTGATATATCAAAAAGCGTTTCCAGTGTATATAATAAGTGGTTATAAATAAATGGTTATTACCCTAATCCCTTACTTGGGTTTATGTAGTGACGAATATGTGTGCCATCAACACAAAAAAATGATTTAATTCACACAGACAACATGCTCTTGTATTTCGAAAGCAACAATAATTAATCATACAGAGCATATAATTCTCGAAACACAGTCACTCTAATGAGATTTTCTAATCAAATGTATCACATTTGGTTAAATTTTAAAAAATGCTGAAAACGTGTTAGCATGAAACAGTAGTATGACTTACTAAGAACATTATCTGTACAGAGAGTCCCTTCTAAACGAAGACTCATCATTTTTCGAAGACAGTGTACTTGTAGGAAGCTTGACGCGATATATACATCCTGATAATCTTCAGCAGGAATAGAATCATGAACTTGACCAATCGAATTAATAAACAGCATGACATGGCTGAGACCAACATGTGAAACGTAATCACATTTGATTTCCAAACGAGGTTCTTCAACTGAATTTTGCTGAAAACTGAACAATGCCCTAAAGTAGTCACTAGAGCTAGCCAAGAGTAGACTGTTAGACTTGAATTCATGATCATTCATGACAACGGTTACATTTGAAAATAATCCTTCTTGAATGAGCTCCAAAACTGTCCCAGATACAGATTTAATATGCTCTTGCAGAAAGTCATTCATTCTCACCGTACAGCCATTGAATAAATATACTGTTTTTGGTTGCCAATAAGGGATTATTAACGCACGTAAATCGGATAAGCTGGAAGACAAAGCACTTGTAGAGCTATAAAGTGAGAGTAATGTGTATATGTGGATGGATAAAACACATATTATCAAGCTATGAACATGACCAGAAGTAACTAGTGTGTAGAGAAAACATTGCTAAAGGGGAACAACATATGTTTTAGTATTTTCGAACGAAATATACTTGTTATAACTTGTGGCCCGAGTTCCCTGCTAATGTATAAAGTAATGATACCGCCAATTAGAGCGTAGTGAATTATCGATCGGACCAATGACTCATAAAACGCGTACGAGCAGTCTAGAGTCCTTATTAGTCCTGCTTCCTGCTTAGCCCAGTCAGTTAAGTCCAGAACACCAATCACAGCCTCTGCGATATGAATCATTTATTTTAAGCATACTGGGTTTATATACCAACCAGACAGACCACATCGTACCATAAAATAGGAAACAACAATTTTACAAGATTTAGCCAAATGTGGCTGCGGATATGAAAGGTAGTAATTAATAGACCAGGCATAACTCAAGAATGGTAAATCGTATAATAATATCATACACATATTTCCCTTTATTATTTTAAAGAGAGCAAGAACAAAGGTTGGTGCAGAATAATATGAATTCATTTTATTTCGTTAGGTTCTCATCAGCTGCTTACAACCTAAAATATTTGAAAATCAACATTATTATAGATAGACATACTTATACAACAGAGGGCGATGAAGGATGAATATATGTAACATAATGTGGCAAAGATTTCGTTAAAGTTAATGAGGTCATAAAATTTTGTTTCGAATATATAGAGTTTGGGAAGGAAGGTTCCAGAAAGTTGAAATGGTTATTAGAAATCATGGAATTAAAACACATTAGACGATTATGTAATGAAGTAACTGAAAATAGATTAATGTTAATAAAGAGAGATATGAATTGAAATTAGTCAGTTATGAATGATGTAATTATAAAATTCAGAAAGAGTTGAAATGGCGTAATAAAAATAAACAAAAATAAAAGGGGGTGAGGTGAATGTTACCAGGGCAAAGAAAGATTTATTAATGTTTCTTTTTGTATACAAAGATCTGGTTTTAAACGTTTGATTGCTATTGCTTCCGCGAATTTCAAAAGGTTTGAATTTGATTGTTTGTTGATCACCTTGAAGAACTTTAGTATATCGACTTCGTGTCCTGTGTCAAGGAGATGACTTGCGACAGCGCTGCTAAATGCTTTTAGTTCGTTTGATCTCAAACTCTTTGGAATTTGTTCTTTGAATCGGACGTAGGCTCTCCTTTCTGTTCTACCATAGGTCAAAATAAGGCTCATAATAAGAGGGATATGAATATGTACAGTTTAGTTATTTGACAATAATACGATAAAAATATAGGCATAGTACTGGTCCATAAATGGATCCTAAAAGTTACCATTCACAAACAGTACTTAACCTTAAAAATCTATCTTTCGATATGTTAGATTTTGGATCACATTAAGAACTGCCCGACACATACATAACTCCACTAAGATTTGAAATAAAATACCTATATTAAAGACCTGCATTAGATTAGCATAATTAACTACGTCCAGTAGCAATAGAATTATTTAGCAAAATCATAATTGGTTAGGTCGTAGAGCATTACATGTCGAAGCATGGCAGCATGAAATAATGAGGAAATATTTTATAAGCCTCAATTTTTATTTGGAATATTTCATCAAGCAAAAGTTTAGTCGTTTAGTTAGATTTTATATCCTCCTTAAACCTTCAAAACAAGGCGCAGACTATCGAAAGGATTAGGAGATAACCTAATATTTCAAACATTGAAAAATAAACTGATTGTCAGTCGTCCAGATGAATTCTCATCTTTGTGGTGTTGGTTACGTAAAAAGCTTATTTGCCGAAATTTGCTTAGGATTATGGATTTGACTAATCGAATTGATAAAGAGCATGACATGACTGAAACCAAAATGTAAAACGTGACCATATCACTTCTTAAAGGAT